CCTTCCGCGATGGTGGAATCCAACCGTCACGGTCTTATCTGGAGCCACCGTTAGCCCGCGTTCTGTGTTTTCGTCCTTTTTTCGGCCATGCGTTTGACCGCATGGATCAGCTCCTCGGGTGTGACTCTGAGCTCCCGTGTTCCAAGAACCCACACCCGCTATGGGGAGAAGAGGCTGCTCCCAGCTGGCCTCGTCGTCTTCCGATATTACGGACGGAGGAGGGAACAGTCCCCCCAGGACCGTGTCCAGAATGTCCGCCTCAAGTGACTCCGTGTAAGGCGGCGCCCACCTTCTTTACCTCCCCAAGACTGTCCGATAAGGTCGGCCCCACGGGTCCTCATTTAGCGAGAGAACGAATTCCTACTAGGACTTCTTTTTGGCCTTTGTTATAGCCTTGCCCAGATTGTCGCGGGCCTGTCTCAGCTCGACCAGCCTGAGGAGGGTCTCGCGACCGTATGACGGGGCGCGGAGATTATATTGCCACGTCGTGGCGTCGGTGGCCTGTATGGGGCGCCGATCTGGGCGCCGCAGGTTCGGGGAAACCGAAGGGTCCTCAGGGCGCTTCACACGGATCAGAATTGACCCTCCTCCGGAATCTTTTCAGGCGACATCTCGTGGCCGTCACCTCTGTCCTGAGTTGGACCAGGTCGTCGCTCCACCAGGGCATCGCTTTCCTGGGGTGCGGGATCGCTCGCAGCATCGCTGCGTCGCACGCACGGATCAGCACCGTTTGTAGTTGGAACGCCTCTACCTTAAGGTCCCATTCATTAGGCAGGCTTACTCCGGCCCATGTGCCCACGATAATGGAGGCACGTAGGAGGTCCTCATCGACCTTTTTCGCCGCCCACCTCTGCGGACGTGGGAGTCCCCTCTTTTTGATTTGGGACGCCGTGTCCTCTAGCACCACCTCTATGTATAGATGGTCGGAGCACGTTTCGTGCGGAGCCACTCTCCAACTGTTCACCCGTGCAGCCGCTGTAGGGCTGGCAAAGGTTATGTCCACGATGGACTCGCCCTGTGCCCTCACACACGTGCTTTCGCCTCTTGTGTTGAGGCAGCACAAATCGACGGCGCTCGCCCACTCACACAGGCATCTGCCTCGCACGTTCGTTGTGGCAGAGCCCCAAAGGTCGACCTTGGCATTAAAATCGCCCATTAGAAGGACCGGACCGGCCTGGAACCTCCGGATGAGGCCCTTCACCTCATCCAGAGACTGTTCAACTCGAGCCATGTCAAGGCTGGCGGGCAGGTAGGTGTCGATAATCAGAATGTCCTCCCATTTGACCACGACAAAATCGTCGCCCTGCCCCACTGGTGTTGAGGGCAGTGGGTTTTCAGTTTCTCGCCAGGTAATGGCGACCGTTTTTCGGTCATTCGCGGCCCACTGGGGGTTGTCGTCCGGGACCCAATAGGGTTCCGAGACAACCGCTATCGCGTAGTCATTCTCCGCCATGGTCTGAAGGGGCATATTATGACCATGGCGGGAATGATTGATGTTAGCCTATAATATGCGATTAGGCATTGTTGGTGGCAGTAACATCGCCTTCCCCGGCCGTTGACTCCTTCCAAGCGTGGCCATCCTGTTCCCAGTCATTTGGTGTGCCGTCTGGGGGGGCCTCCTCCTGTGGCTCCACCTCTATGGGCATTTCCGGTGCTCCCTTGTTGGCCGAGGAGGGTGCAGCCTCCTCCATTTGTGAACTGCCAGTGGGCTTCACTTTTTCCTGGGTTCGACCGTCCGGCTTGGTGGTCCCAGCCCGGTTCCCAGGCTTTTTCCTTACGGGCCTCGCGGGGGAGCGACACGCCCTGCCGCCAAATCGGTGTCCCGTGGGGGCGCTCCGGTCGGCGCTATCTTGCAATGCGCAGGATTACTGCACCTGTTTGCAAGGTGGCCAGTCTCGCCACACCTATAGCACAAGCCACTCCTGTCAGCGTCGCTCGTGCATTTAGCGGCGACATGCTCCCTTTCCCAGCATCTATGACACTGGAAGCCTCTGTCAGCCAACAGCTCCACTCTCGCCGTGGTCCATCCCACGGCGATCCTGGACGATTTAGCGACCTTATTCGCCGCCTTTAGGGAGCAACTTGCCCACGTCGTGCCCAGTCCGTTCGACAGGGTTGAAATGTCATCGATTCGGATCTCGGCGGGGCCGCATTCTCCTACCTCTGATAGTCGAGCACGTAGCTCTGCCTCTGTGACAGACGGCTCGAGATCCCGGATCCGAAGTTCGCCCGTCGTTTCAGGGCGCGAGATTCTCACGTCCGGTTTGTCGGCCGTAATCTCAGCTAGCCTCTTTGCAAGCTCATTGGCCCTTTCTACTCCGGCCGCTCCTCCTGGCACTTCGAGCAAAGAGGCCCCCGATCGGGCCTGGCGGGGTCTCAGGTCGGAGATCCCTATTTCGGAGATATTTATTCTCTCCTGCGCGAGTCTCATCACAGCGGCGTACGATGTCTCGCCCCTACATGTGATGGAGACAGCTGCTGTCCTCGGGGGGCGTCTTGTCCCCGAGGGTGTCGAAGCCACCTTTCCGCTCCTCCCGGATGCATTTCCGGTATTGGGGGCTGCTGACCTTCCTCCGCCCCTATCGGATTTGAGCGTGACGCGCGCCTCCGCTTTTTGTACGGCCTTCGCCCTACGTCCGACGACAAGGAACCAGGGCTCCTCCTGTTGAGACGCGGGTTCACAGACCCGCCAGTCTCGGCATTTTCAGCGGCGGCTGCGCAGGGTTAGGCCTTTGCCGTGGTCCTCGCAGCGGCTGCGTCCACTCCGGCCAGGGTACTTTTCCCCCTTGTTTTCTCTTTCGAGGGGGTAACCCTGGTCACTCTCTTCTTTCGTCGCGTCATGAGCACGGAGTACTCTCCTGGCGCGTAGTCTGAAGCCTCTGTCCCGGAGTGTGGGGCTCCCATCGCCTTCTGGATCTCTTCTCTCACAATGTTGCGCACCATTGCCGCCATTTCCCTTGGCGGCAAGGAGGCCGTCGCGACCTCCGACAAGGCGGCTTTTACCGGTTGGCCGTCCCTAGGAGCCCGTTCATGCCGTAGCCTCTGAGGCCGAGGTGCGGGGGCACCCTTATTTCCGGAACCTACAGCACGGATCCTGCCCTCCGCGTCAACAATCTTCATGCTAACGTTTATAGGTCTGTCCTCCAGGATCAGGCTTTTGCCCCGGAAGGGAGGGCGTCTGGCCTCAGGCCACTCCTCCGGAGGGGGGAGGATCACCTTCTTCCGCCCCTTTTGGACCTCATCGCCGGAACCGGTATCCATTGGCTCGTTCATTCTGACGGGGCGGTCCGGAAGTGGTCCTCTTACCGTGTTGCCCTGCAGGCTTACTTTAAGTTCCGCTAGCTCTCTTCGGTAGCGGTCCGCCTCTTCAATTGCGGCGAGCGTCCTTCGCCTTTCGGCCTCGAGCTCCCTATTCAACTTCTGGCGGAGGTCTGATAGCTCCTTACGAAGAGCCCTCATTTCTTCCGCTTGCGACCCCGCCTGACGGAGCTGCACGCTCCTTCAGGATTTCCATGCAACTCATTGACGTGGCTGCTGCAGCCTTAAGGGTCTTCTGCGAGGTGCCCTTCAAGTTGGAGGATATCCGTATTACCTCCATCAGGCACTCTGTGACCTTAGAGGCAAGGTCCTCAGACGTATCGTCCTCCATCCCGCCTTTAATTTTCTCCAGATCTATTTTAGATTTCTGTAGAAGGTCCTCCTTCTCCCATCCCCGAACAATTGCCTCTCGTTCGAGTTGGAGACTTTTCTCTTTCTCGACATTTAATAGATGGCCTCCGCACGCCCGGCGTATAGCCCTGTAGTTTGCGGCCTTCCCCGCGCCTGCTGAGTTACATGATTTCCTCCCCATGCGTTGGAAGAGTTCATAGGGTTCCCGGTGCCTTTCTTTTCGGGAGGGTCATCAGAGTCCTTTCTAATACTCGTGTCCTCGTCGGACGAAATTACATAGGACCCAGAGGAGTCCTTGCCCCGTTTAGTTCTGCTTCTTGTCCGTCGGATTCCTCTCGAGGAAATCTCACTTCTTGATTATATCGACGAGGCGCACTCCTCGCCGATATCGTCCTTCCTTCCGCTTTTCACCTGGGCACTGGTGCTGCTGGCGGGATTTTTTGCGGCTGACACTCTTATGCGTTCCTGCAGGCCGCCCGAGCTCCTCAAGGAGACGAATCTGCAGAGGGCGCCGATCGCGCGTCCCCTTTCAGGTTCTTCTCCTTTACCATCTTGCTTCCCGACGTTTTTCCCTCCTGGGGTGGAGACGCGTCCCTCCTCTTGGAAGATTTCGGCCCTGGCTTGCTGCCGGAAGATGAATTTTGTCGCCCCTTATTCAAGCCCGAAGGGCCTGGTGGCAGCGAGTCACCATCTTTGCCTCCTTTGAGGCGTAATGTCTGTTCGTTTCTTCCCTGGGTAGACTGGATATCCTCCTCGGAATCGAAAAATAGTTGGAGGTAATCCTCCACCGGAGTCTTGCACAGACCTGCGGAGTGGTCACCGTCTCGCTCGGTGAAACTGGTGCCGAAATAACACTCCCGGTCTGTCGATTCAACTCCCGATGTTAACCCACCATGTGGGACAGTCGGAATCGTCCGATAGGGCGATCCCTTCGCTACGCGACGACGGGCTCTTAACCGAGCTCGCTTCGCCCTCCTTTTTCTTCCGTGACACTTCCAGCCTCATGGGGCTAGTTCGTGCCCCGGACTTCGCAGAGGCTTTTCGAGCCACAGACGGGCCTGCGGTGCACCCGTCTGTGCGTCGTATGAGACTCGGACTGGGTCCGAGTCCGACACGGGGGTGACCAGGACACCACCTCCGCCGCGCCGGTAGCTGACGGTTCCGATGCCGATTGCTGACGTAGCCATCGTTTTCCTTTTAGGCTGCATCGTGCATCATGAAAGGTGGGGCTATTTTACAAGCCGCCCCAGGCCGGATGTACGATTTTACTTCCGGGTTTGAAGGGTTTTCCTTCCCTAACTCCGCACCGCCGGGCCCCGCCTCGGAATACGTCCGAGCAGCCCTGCTGCCCTCCTCTCCCTGAACGCGCGCTGCAAGCAGCGACGCGTCCACCTTTCCCCCCGCTGTGCGGTGCGCGTCCACCTTCCCCCCTTGTCACGGGCAGGGAGCAATGCTCCCCCTGACGGCACCGTGCCACCGGGCGTTTGAAGTCGGGTCGCCATCCCCTACCGGCACATTGGGGAGCCCCTCCGAAGAGGGGAACTCCCTTGGGGTGCCGGACCCTGTGTACAGAGTCCTCCTATTTAACGGAGGACTCCGTACGAGTTGCTCTTAGACCCCCCGAAGCCGCCGAAGCGACCCGGAGGAGCCCCCTCACCACGACAAGGTGGCAACCCACGAGAGGGACAAGGAAGAAGGAGCAAAAGGCTCTCTCTCTCCCGTGACCCCTCCAAATTTTCGCCTAGAGGAGTCGTGACCAGAGGCCCCGAGACCGGACGCCCAGAATCAGCCCCTCACGGGAGCCATCCGGTCACTCAGTCCCACAGTTTCTGCACGGTCCCTCAGGTTCACTGTTCTAGAGGGACCGTGGTTCGCGTACCACCTCCGATTGTTTTATAGTAGGGTGAAGTGGGACCCCCACTACGGCAGACGCCTGTGTTGCCGGAACAGCACCCCCCGCCGACAGATACCGGCGACAGCAGCCGCAGGCCGAAAGTAGCCTCGCGCCGCCAGCCGAATCGCCCCACCCAGGCGAAAAGGCGGGGCGAGTCTATCTCGTCCTGGCGCGGGCAACCACTAGGGCAGGACTAGGACACCGTGCCAACAGGAAGCCACTGCACCAACGGTCAGGCCATGCCCTCATTTTTGAGGATGCTCCCGCCATCCTGCAGGACCATCCCCGGGCCGCGCCCGCACTTCGATTTATTTATACAGGGGAATGGCGGACCCCTGTTCGGTCGGAGGTAATTCCGAGACCGGTCCCCTAATACCCCCGCCCTCCTTTCCGTTCCCCCTGCCATTCGGTTTTTGACCACGGGAAGACAGCACCCGTGTTTGGCGATATGTGGCATCACACAGGTGCCGCGCCTATCTATCACCTCTACCCGTGTCTCTACGTCCGTATTTTCAAGCTGGGGGGAACGCAGACCCCTGCTGGCCGGTATGTGCCTTCGGATTCCCTTTACGGGAAGAGGCGCGATGAACCACCTCCCCTACCCATGTCCCTACATTCGGGTTTTGAACTGAGAGGAATGCAGACCCCTGCTGGCCGACGTGTGTCACCGGATTCTCGTGAGCGAGAAGAGCCGCGACTATCCGTCTCCCCTACCCTGCTACCTCCGGTTTTATACTAGGCAGAGGCGAGGTACCTCCTCTACGTCGAGCCTGCAAGTCCCTCGTACACCACGAGAACCGTGGGCACTAAGGCGACTCCGGCCACTATGCCTACTCGCCCCCCGCCCTCAGTGTGATCCCCCGTCCCTCCTAACGGACCCAAGCTCCCCA